TCCGATCGACCTTTTTTTTCTCACTGAAACAAGTGCAATGTGTGCTGAGTTAGAAATAAGGCATACACCTATAGATTCCATTAAATACTACTTTTCTAGCACGTCAAGAACCAAATTTGACTTTTAACGATAAGCATGATAACATAACAAATATTTGGATAAAACTTAGTACCCCGACTTCGAAGGGACCGATTTGAAAACTAGCCAATAAGACTTGCAAACAAAAATGAACAATTTGAAAAGTGACTGACGGACAATCAAAATTATTTCATTAGAGTATGACTGTACTATACAAATATAAATAAATGATAACCATGTCAAACGAACTTAAACCATTATTCTAGAAATTGATTACGTAGCAATCATGGTCATTTCGAATCCACCTTTATAATATTTTTTCGGGAGGAACGAGTTTGATATGCTAAATCTAGATGAAGCTCGAATATATATCTCTAGTGATTATTGAGATAGCGCGATGACGGGGCTAACACCTGTCATTTGAAACATGTACATCTGTTATCGACCTTCTTAGCCCTAAATTGAGTCAGATCGCCTTCCTATGGTGATACATATTACTAACAAGTTTGGGCCTCATAAAAAAAGTTCTTGATATATTGCGATAACAAGGCCAATACCTGAAATCACATACATTAACCTTAATGAACTTTGTTCCTTTTACTTGTTTACTCCCAATTTTAATCGGATCGTATTTCTATGGTGATACGTGATATCACCAACTTCGAAATTCATACATCAAGTGGTTCTTGAGATATTATGTTAACGAGACAGCTGCAGGACGGACGGGTGGACGAACCGAAACATAATACCTCCGGCACCACCTTCGATAGACGGCGGCAGAAAACAAAACTCGTTTGTTACCTCGTTTGTTGAAACTTGACTTTTCAATATTTCACGTTCAATTAACCTATACTTTACATAGTGAACGACAAACCTACTGTTAAAATTGAAAACTAGTCCTTTGTTCACAATCACTATTTTTCTTTTCCCTTTTCTGAAAGAACGAATTTTTAATTTGCGTCACCAATCTTATGAGCTTCTTTACTGAGTGAATTGTTCAGGGCAAAATGAAGAAAACAAAATTAAGGAAAGTAAAACGATATCAATAAAAAATAAGTGAACAACTTTAAAGAATATGTAAAACAAAAAAACGTTTGTGAAAGTCATTAATCTGTGTAAAGTAGTCGATACAATAATGACCAAACAACAAAAGTAGAGATTATTTGCATAAATAGTTATATTTTCATACCAAATAAAATACATGTACAGCACGATGTGGTATATCATATCACAGTATGTAAGTACAGAGTGGACAATATGCAGTAATGATATGAGTTTTGTTACCAACTTGACACGCATTGACTCAAGTATAACACACTTATATTCACATCAGTTCCTTCTTTGGGCACCTAAAAAATGTCATAGCATATCAAATATCCATGACAACCTTTTCACAATCAAGACTATTTTGAGTAAACGTATCGCTCTAACATTTTTTTAAACAAAAAACTGTTTTGTAATCCTTAAACAGATTTGTTACTGGAATACTTTATAAATAACTTAACATTTTCATCAAGCAAAGCATGGAGTACATTGAATCACGATTGCGACTACTTTCCAAAAATCAGCCTAACGCAGTTTGAATCGACATGTTACGTCACCTATTGAAAGTTGCGAACATGACAATGATATATTACGTAGTTTTAGTATGATGGGACATAAAACGTGGTATTGAAATTGCTCTTGAGTTTATTTTTCGAAAACAGTTGCGATCCTGTTCTTATCAAACTACTCCATGAGTGCCAATGTTCTACTACACGTGCAGCAACATAAATGTGAGTGAAACACAACAAAGACAAACCTGAACTTATATTATTGCACGAAATCACTAAAAAAACACATATTTTAACAAATGAATTTGGTTATATAATGCAATGAAGACAAACTAAATCATGTCTAAAAATTGTAGTGATGATGGTATAATGTCCTGTGCTACTATAACTAAAAAAATAAGTTCCACAATTGCGAGAACTACATGTATAACAAATACGACGTAATTAATAAAATTTGATTTTAACCTTAATTGCTATATACACGGATATATCTAGACCGTTTAACTCCATATATTGCGTCTGCTTATGGCAATCTAAGCAAACCAAACGACAAGGCTAATTTCATTAATATTTACAATTACTGGCACTTTTATAGAAACATTAATCCTTCATTTTCGATCTTCCTCACCTAAAACCTCAGACCTTCACACACTACACATTTCTGTTCAATTGCATACAAAATTCCTACTCGTGCTTAATCAAATAGAATAAATACCTTCTTCGTTAAAATAGATACAGGAATACTTTTAAAAATAACTCCGAATGAGTTAATACTTATGATTACTATTTCTTATTTTTATCATTTTCTTATTTTGTCTGAAATAATTAGCATATCAAAATGATTCATATTACAAAGACACAATAATATTGTTCTTTTCAGTTTACAATCAACTTGTTTACCTTAGACCATATTTTGTTGACCTTAGATTATTTATTGTGAATACTATGTATGTGTGCGTTGGGGGCAAATATTGTTTATGAAAGCTTTCCCCAACGCTCAATTATAATTAGGTAGTTTGAATCTACCGTTTCGAGATTTACACTTCTGTACCTCTCATCGGTTGCATGGAAATATCAATGGAAATAATACAAAATTAAATAATTTAGGAACATGATCATTTCTAGTTACTTCAAACTAAAATGATTTTCAAAGGCTACGAGCGGCGAGATTTCTCCTTCCCTCGAAATAATGGCTACCAAACTTGTCGATATACATGTACCTCGAAAGTGACATAAACAGACAGGACGTTATGTCAAACTTTTAAATATTAAAAATGTATCAATTATTGACAATTATGGGTACATAAATTATCAACTCAGAATGAGTTTCGTAAAATACTAATAACACTTAGCCCTAAAAACAATATGCCAACAAACATATAGGTAACGATTGAAGCAGATTTGGTGTAAGATTATTTACTGATGCTCATGTATGATGAACAGATTGGAGATATATGACAAAACATACATGTACTGTCATGTTAATATCCTTTTGAACTAAATATTTAACCTTTTACTGAGAATTAGATTATGTGCCATTCAAAAATTCCATTCTTATAACAAAATTATTCTTTTGTATTATATGTCGACAGATTAAAAAAAAAATGTGGGAAATGAAAATGAGTTATAACGAAGATCATGGAAACATAAATGTAAACAAACGTAGCCGCATGATCATGTTCTACACAACAACAAAAAACATAGAAATGTATAAACCCGCAATTTATCCTAGTAACTGTCAGATGATATGAGGTTCCTGTGTTAATATGACAACATTAACAAAATGGCAATATCAAACGAACCCTGTTTCGAAAAGCTACATGTTACACATTCAGTTCGAAATAACTAGTAATACAATGTTATTCCTATTAAAAGTTATAACTATAAGTTATTTATAGTAGAATAATCTTTACTGGTTCATTCTCGTTCGGATCTCATTATGAAAGGGCACATGAGCAAATTACCCTAGACTCATCGTTTCAAACTGCAATAATCGCGATAAAGTTTAAATGTCATATTTCGTTTTCTTCAGCTGAAAGTTTTCACTTTGCACAAAAGCCACATAGAGCATCATTGCACTTATATGTTGAAAATGAGTAACGTACATACAGGAGATCCGAGAAAATGTTAGCAATTTGAGAAAGTCTTCATACAAAGATATTACGGTTTTTGGGCAAGGATGTTCATCCTGATTGATAGCTTGGAGTTTCTTCTATGATCGGACGATATATTATACTTCAGTGAGCAAAATTCAGACTTGACTAGCTAGTTAGATGACACGGAGTACTCGTGCGCCATTAAACCGTTACAGTTCATTTTGTGTACCTTGATTTAGCTAGTCAACACAAATACTGCTGATTTAGAGTACACTTTATTTATCACAAGATCAACGGTAGTATAACACCAATATTTTAATAAGTACTATAGTTTTCTTCCATTGAATTGAATATTCTGAGTTCTTTTAAACAACTCAGCTTCAAAGCAGAGTATTGCGATACAACAGAGAATGTAGGCGGTTACATCCCCACTCAAGACTTAAAACACAAATGAATGCTTTCGTAAAAGTGTCACGCTATTGCCTAAGCGATCAAGAGCCACAGAATTGCTTCAGGAATTCCTACTAACTTTTCTGGTGATGGTCACTGTATACACATTACACTTATTGCTCACGCATGATACCATTAACATGTCTGATGTTGATAATATTTTGATAATGAGCGTAAGCCAGATATTAACATTGACAACTTGATTTGCATGCCATACCAAGTTATCACGAAAAACCCATTACCGTAGCCTCTGAAGGTACTCATGATAAGCCATGTACATACACATCGATATTGTACTATTATAATTAGTCCATCGTTCTGTTCTTCTTTGGAAATCACATTATTCTCCAATATCAGCCTTAAAAAAATGACACATGATATGACTATGATACAAGGTAAAGTCTTACAGTATTTGTCCTTTAGCAAATCATCACCATTACCAATGCAAAACTTGTCACATATTTGTCCTCAATTGTACTTTCTAAGGCCATGCTTTCTAATGAAGCTTCAAATCATCGTTTTCATCTTGCACGTTTACCTCTTCATACAACGTATGACAGTGAGTTTAATTGTGCCTGTTTGGTAGAGCCCCATTGTTCGATTGTTCAAGAGGGCGTTTTATTTTGAAGACGCACAGGAGTTGGTTCTCATGTGGAATTTGAAACTGTTCCGATGTTTAACCAATAACAGAAGGCTAATCAATATGTTTAGGCTAATGTTTTGCATTTCCGATCCATCCCCCCATATGGAAAAGTCCTTATCTCACTTTTCCCTCACCCGAAGACGTTCCGAGAGACTAGAGGGTTCTTCTAATTGATAGGCCCGGTGTTTTCTGCGTGCAGACTTTTACACATCAGCAATGGTATTTCGACCAAGTCTCTGTCAGCGAATTGTGGCCTTCACCTCCTGACACGTAAGATACATAATGTTTGATATATAAACTTTATGCATGATTTCCAGGATGTTTCATACTGAATATCTGTTCATGTCTTTTGACATGCAGATACTTTAGATACCCATCAAAATTAAACACGGCAAGATATACAAGCAGGGTTTTTAAGGTCACGTCTGACCATGTTCCATTGTGTTAGTATAGTCCATATATATCTGCTGTCTAATACCATTCCGCTCTTTGCCAATGTGGCCAAAGCGAAGTTATTGAAAACAAGACAAAATAGAAGCAATAAATATATTAACAGCGACAGTCGGCATCTCTTATATTAGGCTTCATGCCGCATCAAGTTGCTGAAGGTGTCCAGAAGGTTACCAAAGCCCTGGAACACACCACGAAAGTGACCCGGACGCTGAGGGCGCTCAACAGATGTACCTGGTTCATCTGCACCGGTTCCGTCGTCATCTTTGCGATCTTGTAGATTCCGAAGCTCCTCGGGGCTCACGCAAACCCAGCTCTCCCCGAATTCATGATGGGCGATGTCTGATCGACTGGAAAGGTGTGACGGTGCTGCAAGGAAATTGCATTAAAAAAGCATAGACTGATTAAGACGAGTGTGATTCATTTGAAACAATTTCATGTATAACACAATCACGAAGAGCTATTAAAAGAATTAACCCATGGCAACAGCGTTGTTCGTCACCTGTTGAAATATGCTAACATGCCGATGCCATGTTACATAAAGCCAACATGATCTTACAAGGAAATACTATAGGGTCTTGAATGTTCCCGTAAGTTAATTTTCTGAAAGTACATTCATATGGGATGATTAAACCGAACCTTTCATTTTGCTTAGCAAAGAAACGAAACTATATAAATCTTACTGTTACTAAATTCAAATGGTTAATGATTGCAATCGAATTACAAAACAAGATATTTTTAAAATGTTTTAAAAAATCTGGAAACTTTGGCCAACATTTAATGTTACAATGTATAAAGTCCCATTGATATTACTATACATATACATAATATGGGACTTTAAAAATAAAACCACTTGGTATAGATGTAATGTACGTTGACATAATGTGACCTTAAACAACCCTATATTTGATTTAATATGACTATTTTATTCTTTATCACTTATGCCAACACGTGGACTTATTATCGGGCATACATATATTTATATATATATATATATATATATATATATTTATTTATATATACCCTAAATCTTTGTGCAATGCTTCCTATTCTCCTGGGCAAAACGTAATCAATTTCCTATCATGTTGGTGATTTCAAACCTCACAACAATGCCGAGTCATCGCCTTTCTCCAAATAACCTATACTCTATGGAACTTTAATGACACACATAGCATGAACAATATCAGTTTTGTATCATGATGTACAGAGTGTCTTTCAAGAGGAGGGAATATTCAACAATAAGAACCTATTATATCTTCACGCTTCCTTCGTACCACCACGTAGATGAGCATTGAGGTCATTAGGTTAGAGGTCATGTCCTTACCTCTTGAGTTGGATTGGCTGTCTTCTCTATCATCCTTGTTCAATAACTCCTGAGACTGTTCGATGTCATCTGTGCTCATTCTGTCTTCGTCTGCAATTCATTCAACAAACAAAAATGAACATGACACCTTATCTGAAAATATAGGCTTTTTAAATGCAAGGAGTGTTTAAATATCATTAGTAAAAATTAATTAAAAACAAACTGTCTAGGCCTACGTTTTCCTGCTTACAAAAAATATTTTTGTTTTAATCGTTATTACGATCACATATTATATAATCAATCAGGACATGGCTATATTGAAGAGCTTTGAAATTGTCGTCAAGTTGATTTCTTGAAAATCTACGTGATCGCGTGAGGCCTACAATTGTTTGTTGGAATACCACTAATTGGCAAAGGGCTTTATATTCTGAACCCATCGAAGAAGGCCGACATTTAATTTCATATCCAGAATACGGTTTCTCTTTTAAAAACGTCAGTATCGAACAATACTATTGAAGAAATGTCCCCTGACAAGTATTGTTCTTGAAATGCCCTGACCTATTCGAAATATAACGTGAAACAGCTGAATAGTGTGGGCAAAAATATTAATATCCTAATTCGATGGTTACGTTTCCTTTAGCTAGATGTAATTACGAGTACAATGACTAAAGAATAACGAAGAAAGTGATTGGGTATTTTTCAGCGACCTTTGACCTTACCTTCAGGTGGTTCAGGAATATCTGTCTGTGTTCCTTCGGTACATTTGGTCTCTACAATCTCTACGGGCGGTTCTTCTACCAGCACAGATACTGAGGGAGGGAGGGACGGACAGAGAGAGGGGGAAAGAGAAAAATAAGATGAACGAAAAACAAAAAAAATGATACATACATTGACAGACATATCAAGCTGATATCAAAATTCCTTGAAGCCCCACTGCACTACTTATCGCTACTTGCGCCAACTATATAGCAAACAATGCCTAATCGATGCCTGTTGGTCCCCCGTGATCACTCTTGTGTTAATTGAGAGCTGATTTGATGAGATAACCACCTGTCAGTGACCTTGCAGGGATGTACAATGCCCCTGGAAAAACTAGTACAGCCGGGCTTAAACGTGATTACAAGTAGTAACGATTCTACATCAGCCCGTTATCGATCTTCTTGTTGACATGTTGTTTTGGTACGTTGATGCCATACTTGCAAAAATACAGAATTCTCATAGACAGCAACTTCTTAACATAATCTCTTGTTAATGTTCACTCGGTATATGTTACGAACTCTTTCAAACAATTTGTTTTTCTTTTGTGTGTGTGTGTGTGTGTATGTGTGGATTTCTTTTCTATTTAGTTACTTTTTCGATTTTCCTTTTTTTTTAAATTTATAAATAAGTCAGTCTTCTCCCTTTATTGAACGTCGACGTAACTTCACATCACTAAACGAGGCATGATGTGGTTCATCTTCAGAGAAAGTGGAAACAGACCTTGCTCGTAATCACGGATCCTAAACAAAACTCTACGACCCGTTGTGGTTGTCCTAATGGTCAAAAACAAAATACGGACGTATACCAAACAATACTTTACATCGGTGCCATCAGGTTCGTCCATTGTTTTGGTTTTACATCCTATGATAACAATTTCTCTGCCCTTCAGCACGTGGAGAAAATTTGCCAACTCACGAACCTATCCATAAAGGACATTTTGTGGGTTTGCGTTAGCCTTTGAGACCCAACGGCTAAGCAACTTCCTTTCCGTAATAACAAAACACAGTTGAATGGCAGTGCATTCCATTTATAAACAACTTAAAAGTTTGAACCCATTTAATTTTAATGACATAGAAGAGGAAAGGATGAAATGTTAATGGCTAAGATTCTCACCTGGCTCGTTTGTGTAGTGATTGTTTTCTATTGGACGGACAGCTATAACGAGACAGAAGTGGAAACCCATTATCAAAATGTGTTTTGTTACTTTATATGGGTGATGGAATGAGCCAGTTTTCTATATGAGGCAGCTTTGATTAGGTTATGCATGCAAATAGCCAGATGGGGAACCATGATCAAAATGAGCAAACCATGACGAAAAACAACAAAATATAATCTATGGCACCCCCTACGACCTATGATGAAAGAGGTTAGAAAGCCGGGTTAGGCAATATTTATTTATTTATTTTATTGATTAGTCTTTTTTTTAGTAGGGTGGCTCCATCAGTAGTTCAATACTGTTTTCCGTGGAGGCCCTACAACATAAATACAAAAATAACAAACATATTGAAAACAAACAATCCAAATCGAAACAAAATGAATTAAGTTACAACATTTTCGAACAAAAGAAAAGAAACATACACAACACAATGGACCAGTTTAATGATTTAAATTATCATATCGCCAAAACAAAAGAGTAAATGAAGAATTTGATGGCGCATTTTTTTTAAATTAGGTAAAGTATTCCAGAAAGCCGCACCATCAAATGAAAAACTTTGTTTCCCCATGTGGGTTTTTATTTTGGGTAAATTTAATCATGCTAGTTATATGAGACTGGTTTGATTTACGAGATTGTGATGGTAAACAAAACTCCGCCAAACTATAACCATATAACAAATATTAACCCGTTGTCTCCTGAGTTGTATCGGTCCCATAGGCTTAGCACGGGGATCACCATGTTCCCGTAAGCAAAGGGTTAAATAGATAATAATGTACTCAACCAAATGTAAACAACATAATTACAACGATCTGTGTAGCCTACATGCTTTCCGTGTTTGCATCTTGAGTATAGTTGTAGAGTTTTTAACATGTTAGGGAGCCTAAAGACAAATATGAACTTTTGTTTTAAATGTTAACTTGGCTTACTGGAATGTGGAAATATTATGCTTGTTGGTTAGTGCTATGGATATATATATATATATATATATATATATATATTTGTTTATTCGATGGGAAAACTAATGCTTAGGTTACACGAACCCTTTTTTTTTCTTCATTTCGATGTCATTTCGTTTTTCCATTTTTAGAATGCATGCATTTTCCATGCGTTTATACTGTCCTATGCATTACTAGATGCAGGTTCGATGTGGATAAACGAAAAGGAAACTGAGCCGGGAATTTTGAAGTTTTGAACATGTCAAAGCAATTCCCGTGCCTTTGCATTGTCCATACGTCCCGTAAAACGCATGGAAAACAAAGCATAACTGTATCATGTAAATTTGGAACGAATTCAAATCATGCATTCCCAGATCGATGTCGGCTCTTTTTTTTTTTTTTTTTTTACATCGGAACGGAAACGCGTGGGCTCAACGCATTGGTGTGACCTTGGCATAGGTTAGGTTAAATAGTATACATGCGATGTGGTGCGATATCATTGTGAATAGAAGCAGAGTAATATGATTCCAAAGCTATGCAAATGATCCATTGCCAGATGTAAGTGATATGTAGAAGTCGAAATAGGTTATTACATGTTAAAATGCAAGGCAATGACCCAGTATAAACTGTATATGCTCATGATAAAGAACACAAAAGGGAAAAAAGAAATGCAACACTATTATATCTCAAATGAAGGCATATAGACATACTTAACAATAATTATAGCGCGATAAAGAGAAAATTGAAATATTTCGAGTACCGCCTACGTATTACCTTTCTACTTCATAACACCTCTTACACACCGCTAAACCGACGCTTAATCGACTTTTTTTTTTTTGGTGTACCGGTTTGTTATCGCTCACACATATAAAGTAGGACACCAGATCGACAAAAATACGGAACCAAATGTGACAAATCTCTGTTTAGAATAAGTTTTGATTATATTTGGTAGTGAAACTGAGGTATTTGTCACACCAATGAGAACAACATCAGGCCATCAACCTTTTCGGTTGTTAATGATCTAGTACACTTCAAATGCATATACATTGTATGTGATATTTAGAGAAATAATAGATTGAATTGAATTGAAAGAAAAAAATGAAAATATGAAAAAAACATCAGACCGGACAACAACAACTAATTCACCACAAATGGCAAAGAAAACGTCAGTTTGAAGTCGGTGTTGGTCGGTTTTAAGTCTGTGTGGAGTCTTTGTGAGGTCAGTGTCAGTTTGTTTAATTTGAAGTCGGTGTGGAGTATGAGCGGTTGAACTATTAAAGCGATGCTTACCCGATCCCCTCTCTAGTTCTGTGAGCTGTTCCTGCCTTGTCGGCGTCCCCGGTTCAGCTCTCGACCTCCTCCTCCTGCTCTTGAGTATGAGGATGATGCAAATGAAGAGGACCAAGAGTACTAATAGGATTGACACGACGATGACGATGATGACTACGAGTGGTGACCCGTTTGCTGTTGAATTTTAAGAAAAATGAAAATACAAAATCTAAATTGTTAAGAAGCATTGCCTGAAAATGAATTGTTAGTTTTATTCCCCATCTCTGATTCATGTTTAATCATGTCTATACTAGTTGGCTAGTGGGTTAGACCCCATTTCACTGGCAGGTGATTATCTCATCAAATCAGCTCTTAATTAACATAAGACAAAGGGGGATTATTGGGAACCAACACCGATTAGGCATTGTTTGCTATATAAAGGGCGCAAGAAGCTATAAGTAGTACAGTGGGGCTTTATTGTTGCTACACAGTTAGGCCTATAGTCTAATTTATTCTTTGAATCAAAAATTAAAAAACAAATATGATATAATACGATTCGTATTACTCTTTTAGGTGAATGGTCGGAATGATCCCTTTGATTTCTATTTCTGATTGGGTAACGGTTGGTTAGTTATATTACCTTCTACCCCTTGAATTGCGACTACGCTCCATCTTTGTCCCGAGACTGCTTCCCCGCTCACATTACATGAAAACTCCTGTCTCTCAAGACTAGATGTTACTTCAAATGTCACGGACAGGTTTTGTGTTCCATCAGAATTATTTGTCAACGTCCTGTAACTTGCAATCTCGTCCTGAGTTGCGTTTGTCCACCTTAAATCCAAGAGGGGTCGAAATCCAGAAATCTCGCATGTTAAGTTTATACCCGTCCCAACCTCGAGTTTGATTACACATGTTTCGTCCTCATTTTCAGCATGTTCATCGGCGTTTGCACATTCAAGAATAGTAGGATATAGTTCCGTCGGAGCAGCTGTAAGTAATAATTATATTTGGTGAAAATATATATGTATAACAGGGGAACAATTGTAATTTATTTATTTAAAACAAATTGATTATAGCAGTTGGAAAATCTATTTCATTTGTTTGAAACATTCATCCAAGAAGAGCATCAACTTATGTTATGCAATTTGCGTTCTGGTGGTTAAAGTGCAAAGGAAAATAGCAGGTAGCTGAAATGCTTCATCACCACACATACCTGGGAAGGAATTCATCATCCATACATTTAAATACATTTGCTTGATAAACAACTTTGTTTAGTACGTCACGCTATAGCGATGCCCATTATTTTCTGAGAAACTGTACATGTTCTTGCTTTATACCTCTATCATATGCTGATGGGAATCGTGTAGATTACTGGACACAAATACATCAAATCTCTCAGAATAAAGGCATTTATTTCTTGGGGGGGGGGGGGGTTCCGTAAATAAGTTCCTGTATGAAATTAAGACATCGATCCGCTCCCAATAATAAGAGTTAATTGAATATTTACGAAACCTCATCACACCATATCATATCACTGAAAAACTAATTATATAATATGATAATATAGTTCTTGTTTTTACTTAGGAGAGCCCCATGAGCAACAGTAATGTTCTTTTCGCGGGCCCTGCAATTATCGTTACCTAGCAAGTACCAGGTACCCCTTTACACTTAAAGGGATCGTTTAACAATGTTAAATCTGAGATACACGGCCCTACGTGTTATCAGTGTCTGTGATATGGTGTAATATTGAAGCCCTAAAAAAATTGCGCTTCAAAATGATCAAGAAGTGCCTCAAAAAAGTAAAAAATCTTTAGTGACCGGTTTTACCATACTCGTTTTACCCAATAGACTGTAGTGTTATGAAAACCGTCAGGCGAACGGTTTTCAAAATTTGTAATTCCAATCATAAATATCTTGATAATCAGACAGGCGATCGGCTTGTAAAAGTCATGGGGTTCCTGACTGACCTAAAGGTTTATAATTATCATTTCATCATGAGCTAAATCCAGAATTTTATTTCAGAATCTGAGACAAAGTTACCGGATCCCTTTAAGTGGAGAGTGGCACATGTGGATTAATATTTTTTTTTTCCAAAGGAGCTTAGTGTCGGGCTGGGATTCGAACCTTCAACCCCTCAAGAAAGAAAATGTATTTCACTACTACTTACAAAGAACACGAATAGTACTGGAATTTGTATTTTGATCCCCCGCGGAGGCGCCCGATAAAATCACTTTGCAGATGTATTGCCCCTCGTCCTCTATCGTTGGTGGCCGGTGTAATACCAGCGACTTGTTCTCTGAAAGACTGAAATTCCCGCTCTCAATTCCCGAGCCCGATACAACATCGCGGAACACCTTTATAATTTCGATTGGGTCCGATGCCCCCTCCTGCGCTCGGCTCCAGGAGAACCCCGATATCCGCTCCCCCTCCTGTAGTCGTACATCGCATGGGATGCTTTGGTCTGTCTTGTCCAGCCACAGGGATACTGTCTTTTGGGTGAAGATTTCGAGCGCTGATATACTTTCGCACATCAGGGAAGCTGTAAGGATGATGGCGAAAAAGATAATGATAATGATTACGATAATAATAATTATTATTACGATAATAACAATAATAATAATAATAATAGTAATAATAATAATGATAATAATGATAATAATTATGATAAAAGTAATATTAATAATAATATCACCATTTTGGTTTCTCCTAAATAAAGTACAGTTATTGCCATTATCATTCAGTAAAACCTATTGAAATTTTGCTGTTTACGCTCCCAGATTTTCGTCTGGGTGATTGTTCTTTACTGGTAACAATGATTATGCAAAACCAAACCAAACCAAATATTCATTAACCACAGATAACATAATTAACCCCACAGTAGATTTAGGCAATATCTAATTGTATATAAATTTGGTTTCAAGCCAATCAAACGTTCGAGAGAAAAGTGTTATGTACTATTGAGTGATTTCCTGAATTCTTTGTTAACAATGTGAAACTGTGTGTGTCATTATGTTTCCGGTGTATTTATGTAGCTCCATGCTTATGGCAAGATGAATGTTATGATTAATTAATTTGGCACATAATAATGACCAAATAGGGAAACTAAAATCTACATCTCTCGGTTATTGTGGTTGTATGGCTAGGCTCCTTCCGCTTCCGTCCCCTTACGGTCTCTTTGTTTTCGACTACTTTATTTATTCTGTCTTTCTTCCGTGTCTGTCGTTGATAATGTAGACCAAATGTTTTTTGTATACGAATCTCTTACAAAGAAACGAGTTTTTCTAAGCCTGGCCCTTCAGCTCCTCCGCACACTCTTTTCTCTATAACAACCTGTGTTTATGGCCTCCAGTTTTCTTTCCTTGTCTCTCTCTCTCTCTCTCTTTATGTAATTGTTAGGTCTGTGACTGTCGTTCTTCCTTTGACCCCCCCCCCCCCTCTCTCTCTCTCTCTCTCTCTATTTCTTTCGAACTTTCTTTTTGCTCATGCTTATCTCTCGCTCTGTCTCTGTTTTGTCTCTCTCAGCTTTCTCTCACTCCTATACCTCCTCACTCTTCTCTTTTGTCCGTGTCCCCTTTTAGTGTGTTCCCCTTCTCTCCTGTTTAACCCCTACCTATCCCGCCCTCCCCTTCTCTTTCTTTCTAATCAAGTCACTACAATCGTATATTTTGGTATTATTTCTTCCTTGTCGTCCAAGCACTAACCATGTGTGTCTTTTATCCGAAAAAGCACAAAGTACCCCGACCCGGGTCACTAATCTTTCATTGAATACAAATTGCTCCCTGATTCTCTTCCCAAGTTCCACTCTGAACAGTTGTATCCTCTCCTTGCAAGCTGGACATGTTACGGAGTGTTATCAAATACCCCTACAGGCCGTTTGTTAGAGGCACTTACATTTAAATTGGGATAAAAAATAAGAAAAAGGGCCTTACAGGACAAAGAACTTTCCTTTCCTGGCCAAACGGTGATTGATGTATTTTAGCCGGAGACAAAGAACCTCGGGGATCCCAACATGCCGGTACCCTCCGACCTATATTGAATTATGATTTTCTTCATACCACCCGGTGGTGGTGATCGCGACGTAGAAATGTGATCAACTTTATTGCTAGGGAATGGACAAAGAAATACCCATTATAGTGGCGGATTGGCTATTTGTGTACTACATGCAAGGGACATGCATGCAAGCTTGTAATGAATGTTACAGTGTAGCCTGAATGAACACTTCTGGACTTATAGGCCTGTTTTCTTGCATAGTTTTTGAATTCCGTGGACTCCCACTGGGAAGTACCTAACACCCCAGCTGTGATTGGACAATTAAGGAACAGCTATGACATCATCATTGCAGAATGGCTGTCTGCTACATTTTGCAACTTTATATCAAAATTGTGAAAAAAATAACGAATGTGGAGATGGGAACATTTTACCATTGTTCTTAAATATATGTCTATTGATCATTTAGGACAAAATAAAGTATTTTCCAGGGAAAGACCACGGAGCTGAGACTGGCCCATGGTCTATTACAAGTGCTGCATTTTATATAGACTTTTAGTTCAGAACATATGTTATGCATGACGATTGTATAGTTTCACCACGATCCGTGCGTTTCGGTTTCATTATTCGTATTGTTCGTAATGCTAAGTCCTTACAAATCGCTTTCAGAACTTTACAACATTATTTCCAAATCATTGTCATGCCAAACGATTTCGTAATGAGAAATGTATCTTTTGTATGTGGCTTTCAGAAAAATATCCTCTTCAAGATTACATCATATGTTATTATAGCACGATAGCGACTACATTTCAAGCATAAAACACCCTGACGCAATAACGATTGCCCTTTACGTGCATCACCTATTGAAATATGCAAATATGACAACGACATATTACGCAATCCGAACTTGACTTTCCCATTGAGTTGATTGTCAAACCTAGTTGCGATTTTGTTCTCAGTGAACTTGATCCATAAGGGCACAACCCCTCTCGAAAAAGGGGGTCTTTTTCGGGAAAACCTCATACTCGGGCAACGAGGGAAGGCTTATTTGCATTTTAAAAATGATGGTATCAGTGTAATTTTAAGAACGAAATCAAGTTGAATTTAGGACGAAATAAATGTTCCATTATAAAGATAATGTATCCATAATGTTGCTCCCATGCTTTGCTAGCTCTTGAGAAACTAAGATTCAGAAAGGTAGATTCTGATAAGAGGAGCTAGTGGCGAATCTATGGTTATGGGCTTATCGCAGTAACACCATAATAATGAGCGTCCTGTCGATCACTTCTTCATTTTATCCAAGCACATGATCCTTCCTCGTTCCCGCCTTTCTTAATCCAGGCACAGTTCACAACAAAATGTGCCTCGTGACTACGTCATAATACGTCACAATGCCGTTATCTCGTATAGTCATGTTCATGAAAACGGGGTGGTGATTTACTGAGCGCTCTCGGTGACGATGACGTTCTTGATTCAATTTCCTCTGCATTTGACTTGGTTATTGAAGCACCGTGTTTTACAAACCAGGGCACTATCTTGTGAAATTTAGGGCACAATTCGTGCATCAATTACAGTGTACAAGCTAAGAAAAACAATTAGTTCTGTACCTATCAACATTATTATAAGGGTTATTATAACTTATGTATGTTTATATGTTTTGTAAAAATGTTTTTGATTATGTTGATACAGGGCCCCTTGGTCGAGCAGTTTTTATAACTGAAAGGGCTACCCTGTCAAAATAAAACGACAAATAAATAAATAAATAAATAAATAAAGAATGAACATTCTAACCCCGACAACAAACTTCGATATGTATTATTTAGGCTCATAATCCCCCCCCCCCCCCCCCCTTGTCTGCCGTTTGTGTAACTGCCCTTTTGCAGGACGATTGCATCAAACTTTCTTTGTTCGTGCAAGTAAAACGCGTGTCTGCAAATAATAATGTTTTATAGGCCCATACATAGCAAGCGAAATTCTGGTTGATGATATAAGAGTTAATGATTACAATGAGGGTATTATTTTGTCGCGTAAATGTAGTGTTAATCGCCGGCTGGTGATGAAACATTGAGATTTCAAAGTGAGCTGGCAAGAACATTTGACCAGAGGATCGACAAAGTTACTTTACGCTATCAAGATGTGGAATGTCTTGTCTTTGTCTAAACAGTTTTTGTCCAGCTGAAGTTATGACTCAGTGGGACTGCCCAGGAATATCATTATTTACTACTGTTCGTATATGCTATATATCAGTCCTACACCAATCGCCCTTGGGAGGGGGGGGGGGGGGGGTAAAGCTCTGCACCCTAGCCTGTAAATCCCGCATTCATCATCATTATAAACTCGTAATTATCTAACGGTAATAACACAGTTACCCACACATCAAAAGGGTTCCGTTATTAAGGCATGCAGGACCAGGACGAAGATCAATTTCTATTAGTCATTTAATCACGTTTGTATTGCAGGGGTGCTAACAACCTCATTACGTAACAACAATCACTATGTACCGCGAGGTTCTTTGTTCGCTTAAGAGCGAACATATGTCCGTATGCTATAGCAACATGTTGTAGCATAATAATTGCTGCGAGTTTTATACATCATCAATTCATATATACAAAACTGGGAAGAAAAACACAACATGAATCAGCTATGATCATATCACACAACGTCCAAAAGCCAACTCCTCGAACCCACTATATAGTTGTGTTAATTTATCTCATAAATGAATAGTCTCTGTGTATAGTCTAGAGGGGAAAATACTGTTTGACCACCCCCCCCCCCCAATATCTTAGCTACTTCATACACTCTATTCTCTCTTAAATGGGAAGCAATGGGAGGATATTGCGAATGTATTTTAAGAACAAAGCACCACACTACAGAAACCACCTAAGTTACAGAATCTGCCTAGGCAAAAAACTAATTTGGTTGACAAGGTCTTGGAGGGGGAAATGAGTAAGTCCCACGTCTAGTCGCCTACATATTAATACCTCTTTCTGGTAAGGGCGATTTTTATACATTGTGGTTATTATAACACTCAGATTATGCAAAGGGCTTGATCAAAGGGATACTAAAATTAGATCAGAAATGACAAGTAAATGTTGAAGTTCATAGGCCCATTGTCATACACTCTTGTAGCCAGGTAAGAATAGGGGTTTCCCTAACATCATGACAAATTAAACAATAAACTGAGAATGTTGCCAGTATAATCAAACCATACAAGGTTAGGAATCACTTTTAACCTTTTTGCATTGAAGCCAACATTATGTTTTACCAACCTAAAGATAAATAGGTAAAATCCGTCATCAATGTTGAATTACACTCGGTCGGAAACTCACTGCTGGATTCACGACACCCACACAAAGAAGCTTATAATAATGGGTCTGGCAAACCAGACTACAATGACTAACTCAAACAGCTGATCGAGGGGAAAGCCCTATTCACCAAATCTAGTGGACCGCAGCTGGGTGTATACTGCGCATGCGTCATGTCACGAAGTGCGTTGTACTTGTAGGTCATGGCTCATTGTTATGCATGATTAGTATTCTCGTTTATCACGAT